GGAAAGGAAATTGTTAATTGTGTCCATTGAATGGGACTTTAAGCAAGTAGGGTTATACTTCGGACCCGTCAGATTGTGTCCTCATGCGACTAGCGACTCGATTGGCCATCTGGTTCATCCCTGTCCTGGCCACCTCCTGTGACCTCGGCTCCTTCGAGACGCGCATGTCAGCGCGTGGCTTTTATGTGTAGGCGGACTGATAAAGTGACCGTAGAGCTCGACGGGAAGAGCTCGTTAGGAAGACTCCTAACACATATGCCCTCTGTTCGAGCTCATGAGATATCCTTTATCTTCATGCCAGGTGGTTTCTTCTTGCCGAGCCTAAGTCATCATCCTTGCCGTCAAGAAGTTCCACAGGCTGCTGTACCGTCATCGTGTCACGCTGTTGACCGACCATAAACAGTTACTGTCCATCTTCAGTTCGAAGAAGGGCATTCCAGTCTATTCAGTTAGCCGACTTAAAAGATGGGCAAGCATCCTCATCGGTTCCGATTTTGATATCCGCTACTGTTACATTACTGACTTTGGCCAGGCTGACGCCCTTTTCCGCCTCATCTGTAATTATCAGGAACCCGAGGGAGATACGGTGATTGCTGCTATTTCGATTGACGACGATGTGCGCCGTCAGTTTTTGGACATAAGTCGAGGCATACCTGTAACTGCCGCCGACATCCGACGCGTTATTGAACAGGATCCGGTGCTTCGACAAGCTATCTCCTATGTGCAAGCCACTTGGCCCACCTCTGATCTTACTGGCGATCTTTACCAGCTCTTCCTGGGTCGAGCATCGCTGTCTGTGGTGGATTCCTGCCTAATGTTTGCAGACCGCATTGCCATTCCTCATTCACTTCGACCTGCTGTGCAACTCCAGTTTCATGCTGCTCACCCTGCTACCAGTCGAATGAAGTCCATCGCTCACAGTTTTCTTTACTGGCCGGAGATTCACAGCGACATCAAAGACGCCGCTACTCCCGTTGTTAATAAGCCGCCAAAATGCCCCCTCGTCAACCGCCAGTACCATGGCAAACACTAGATAGACCTTCATCACATGTGTACATGGATTTCGCTGGCGCACTTGAAAGAGACACTTACCTAGTCGTCGTTGATGCCTACTCAAATTGGCCCAAAATTGCACCATTGAATCCGGTGACTACATTTGCAACTAACGCTTTCCTACGGCGCATTTTCAGCCAACATGACCTGCCGGATATTATGGTGTCAGATGATAACTTCCAAGTTATCTCATCGACCTTTGAGCATTTTCGCAATCAACAACACACCCAGCATCTCAGCTCCTCGACCAACCATCTCCAAGCAAACGGTTAGGCGGAGCGTTTCATCGGCAAATTCAAACGAGCCTTTTTGAAAGCTCGTGGGTAGAAGACTACGGACAAGATACTCAAGCTGTTCCTCTCGTTCTACAGGACCACTCATAAGCCGGATTCTCCTGGTAGTGTCTTTCCTGCCGAAGCCTTGATGGGCCGGAAACTTCGAACTAAGTTCCAGGCACTGTTGCTTACTAATCTGCTATCCTCGCAATCAGTTCCACCAGCTTCTCGTGGGCAGCTTCCCACCGGACCACCTGTCTTCGTTTACGATTATCATCAAAGATTTCCAGACCGGATTGAAGCGATAGTAGTAACGCATAGAGGCAGCATGCTGTTCGACGTCTCTGTCAGCGATGACATTTAGGTTCGAAAATGAAACCAGCTCCGGCGTCGATAGTGCGGTAATCCAACCGGACCAAAATCTGGCGCATCAGAGCCTGTCGACATTCTGTTGGACACTTTTGCTATTCCAACAGACCAACCAGTCCCCGAACTGAATGCTGCACCCCCTTCAAATTTACCGCTTTCTAAATCAGTTCCTGATTCCGCACCTGTAGATTGGAAACTGCCCTTGACACGCCGGACCAACCAAGTTCGCCGAAAATCTCAGCGCACACAGGTCAATCCACGCCATAAGTGGTACTGACCCACTTAAAAGGGAGATTCAGAAGAGGAAGATGCAGTCACTGGAACAAGGACTTTATTTTCCTGACGTTTCCGATTCCCTCGGGTATCCTTAATCCTTCTTCGATAACCTATGATTAAGGATTCCCGAGAGAATCCGAAACGTCAGGAAAATAAACTCCTTTTTCCAGTGATCGCATCTTCTTCTTCTGAACTGCTGCCTGGAACTCGTATATTCTCCTCTAAAAGGGAGGTGTTGATAATGCGTCCATTCCCACAATGAGACACAACACAGAAAGGCGTCGAAGGGCAGTTGTCACGCTACGGCAAGGAGAGCGTGCACCGTATCTATCGACGTTCGTCATAGTTGATTAGACCATGGTCGCCAACGTTACCTCATCAAGCTGACCGAATGCCTTTTATAAGGGTGACTTGCCTTGAATTCCTCTGTGTGAATACACTTCTTCTCCCGGCCGATTCACTTGCTTCTCTCGTGCTGGTCATAGGGGAAACAGCCAAAATTACTCAGAGTTCGTGCTAATTAGAGGTAACAGGTGCGTGTCGTAACACTATGTATAATAGTAAGCCAATAGTAAATGCAATTTTTGATTTATGCTCATCACTACAAGGCCGTACTCAGGTATTGGGAGCAGAGGTTAACTTGTAAGTGAAGTGAGAAGTAAATTGTTTGTCACTTTTTGTTGTAGGGTTACCGTTGCAAGCAGAAAGAGACAGCTAAAACTCAGATTGAAAGATGCAGCAAAGTTTTGCAGTACTGTCAGGACAGAAGACTGCGCCATTCAATGCGGCTACGACAGCAAACCGACGGGTATGTCTTCAATCGCAGACGCTGCTGAAGAAGAAAAGCCGAAAAAACGGGCTCAGTATTTGAACGCAGCCACCTAACAAGTAAAACTATCATAAAGTCATAGATTGAGTTTTTTTCTTAAATATGCAGCTGCGAAGTATCTGATTAGCACTTAGATTGTAAGTATTTTGTAAATGAAGGGTAGAAGGCATTTTCGTGTAATCGGGAACGACGTAGCTTAGTCTACCGTGCAAGCCTGATTACGTACGTCGGTGTGTATGGTCTTGCTTAAAGGTGTCCTCCCTCCGATAAACCGTTACTGTATGAAAAGAATTTTCAAGCGATCGTGAACGACGCAGCTTTGTCTGTCTTGAAAGGCTGATTACGTATCCGCTGGTGTGTGCTGTTGCGTAAGGGGTAACCGATAATGCAGTAGTGCAGAAATAACCATATTGCTGGAACAATAACAAACGAACTGAACGGGAAAATCTGCAGTTGCGCGATGGCGTAGTGGAGAAAGTAAGCAAAAGCCTAATCGTGATTATGTTAAGGTAACGATTGGAAAGTGAGGTGATCTTACGTGAAGTGGATGGCTAGGGCACTCCTACAGAAGTAATAATATCGTTCGGACAATAGCAAAAACGCAATATTGGGACGACAATAGGAACCAATGAGGGGCACCTGCCAAAGTGGTATAATACGCGGATGATGTCACCTTCTTCTGCCAACACCATCACATCGATCAGGCTGCACAGGTCCTCTCGAAATCCATGCCTGAAGTTGTGAACTTCTTCACTCAGCGCCGGTTTAAGATCTCGGCAGCCAAGTCCTCAGTCACTTTTTTAACGTTGGACTCGAAGAAGTTCAATCATCACCGCGGCTATCATCGTCAACGGTGAGTCTTTACCGCTACTTCTTAAGCCCAGGCTCCTTGGCGTCCATTTACATCCGCTCTTTACGTTCGCGGACCATGCTAGGGAGTTCGCCAGCAAAGTTAGCCGATGCACCAAGGTCCTCAAGGCTCTCGCTGGCACATCTTGTGGCTGCTCGAAAGAAACGTTGGCGACCTCATCCAAAGCGTTGGCCAAGACGCATTTTACCTATGCGGTATCAGTCTGGTCTCCCACAAAATGTCGTCTATCGATCACCTCCATATAGAGGCTTCTGTCCTGCCGGCCGCCCCTCAAGAAAATCCTAAGCCAGCAGGTCTGACGGACCTGTTCACAACCTGGCCATCCGAATTACCATTCATGCCACGCTCCCGGGCCTAGCTGCAGCGTTCGGCCGTCTATTCGAGCTGTCCACAAGGCAGCTACCGCCTCGTCTCTCTCGGATCTATCCATTGATGGCTCTGCCACCAAGACAAGCTTCCAGCGTCTTCACTAGAGAGCTGTTGTGGACGCAAAATTCAGCGAC